TCCATTTTTTTTCGTCCCACTCTCTGACACCAGTTTGTTACGCCTCCAGTCGTTACTTAATTTTCCGTAAATTCTTTCCAACTAAACTTTGGCGACACAAGTCCTTTCTTAAATAAAACTGGGTTATTCTTTCCGAATACAACTTTATGATACACTTAATTTCAACAGTCGCTCTATAACAAACGCCATAACTCACGTGGCCAACAATATTCTGTCCGAATACATTCCATTACTCATTACCTCCCCGTCGCTTCGTGGCCGGTCTTATATATACAAGACTACACTAAATCTAGAAGGATCACGAGATTTAAGGAAAAGACGTGAATGTTCGAGAATGACGTGACACTAGTCGATGTCGTAACAATAATATAGAGGTTGGCTCCCTAAAGACACTGATTGCATAGTGTACAAAGCGTCGAGTATCTACATGTTACATTCATCTAATGTTCGTCTACTATTGGCTGGTAATTCCTGTTTCACCTTGTACTAAGCATTTTAAAGGAACACCAGGTACTTGTATAATAGCTAACTTCAACTGGTAATGATAACATCGTTTACTCTAGAATTATGATGTTTTTAGCTTATGTAAAATATAAAAGGAACAAATCGACTTTTCAATACCCATACGACCTTCACAGTACCTTATTTAGTATTCTATAAAAGGTTTGGGTGCATTATACCAGGCCTTTTTGTTGTAGTTTGGCACGAGAATAACAATAACATTTACAATTGGGCCGTTTTATAAGTTTAACATGCGTGGATTTTTATGCATGTGTACAGCCTTAGCAGTCAATAGTAAAGGTTTTAAAGTGTTGTTTGAACTGAATCTTTACCAAACGTTCTGTTGGGGTTTTTGTGGAATTCCTTGTGATCCCAACTATGAACCACTATTGTGGTTCATAATAAAGCTGTATTGATAAATGTAATTGTATATGGGTGAAAAATAAAAAATACCATTGAAACGGTGAATAGTAATTGGTTTATTTATGTCATTCTCTAACATATGGATGCACAGCATCACAAAATATTTGAAATATTTAGCATCTTATAATTTCACATTGCATGAATAGTTCAGTGATCTAGTTTGAATGTAAATACTTTATTAATTAATAAAATGTAATGTTAGTGAATATTAGCAATGGTTAACTACTTAAAAGTTTAATAACAACTACTGCCCATTTATAAAACATTTTGCTTCCAAAATGTCACTATACTATTTAATAAAAGAAATTTCTTGTTAGGAGGGGCATTTAAGACAAAAACAGCTTTGATATTCAAACATTTTGCATAATTGAAAATGTGAACTTAATCATGCATTTGAAAGAGGGATATTAAAAAACTATAGAGATGCAACATAATTAATGGGTGTTATTTTGCAACTTGTACTATAGTCAGATGTTATCTTAATACTGTGTAATGGAAATGTAGATATGGAGTATTGTTGTTAACTAAATTTCACAGCAATCCATAAACCTAAGTTTACTTAAGATTTATGTAAAAGTTGGTAACTTCTCAGAATGTATAACATAACAATTCCAAAAATTTTTCATTAATACCTCAGTCAATTTCCAAAACTTTCAATAAAGGCCACTGACTCTAAGTACTAAATAGCCCTTACTGAAGTTAAAAAAATAAAATAAAAAAAAAGTTACAAAACTAATAAAAAAAAGTATGAATTAATATCTTTTTTTTATGATTACAATGATTAAGTGGTTAGAAATACCATATGCTCTTTAACAAGATCAACAGCAACAAAAAAAAAAGTGTATACTCACTGTCCAAGGGTATCAACTCTTCACAATTCTGGAACCTTTATTTTTGCTACAGTTTTTTTACACAATCAAAAATCTTTCTTTCAGACTTTATCAGTTCTTCTCATTCATACACAATAACTAGTCCAATACAAAAAAAAAAACAACAACCAGGCACCATTAGATTATTTCTTTTTTTTATGTATTTAAAACTACTCACTGGTATTGCTACCATCTCCTAGTTTCTGAACAATTTTTATCCTCTAATAATTGTAATTAAAGCAAGAGTATATCAACTTTCATTATTAACTAACCCAAACTATCAGTTGCAACATCAATAGACACAAGTGCAAACTGTGTTTATAAAACATCTATGGTCCGAATAATGTTATAGTGAACGTTTAAGTTCCCACAATTTGATGATATAGTATTTGTCCACAAGGTGAATTTTCTATGTACCAGTGACCTTTAGACCTTGAGTTTTGACCCATGATTTTCAAAAAGTTAATCAGATCTAGTACTTTATACATATTACCTATTATAAAAGTTCGGTCATTATGCATTCATCCTGTATTGAGATATCGTGGCCACAGAGTTGGGGAAGATTTTCTATGTACCAGTGACTGTTTGACCTTCAAAAAGTTAATCAGATCTAGTACTTTATACATATTACCTATTATAAAAGTTTGGTCATTATGCATTCATCCTGTATTGGGATATCGTGCCCACAGGGTTGGGGAAGATTTTCTGTGTACAAGTGACCTTTTGACCTATGACCTTCAAAAAGTTAATCAGATCTAGTACTTTATACGTATTACCTATTATAAAAGTTTGGTCATTATGCATTCATCTTGTATTGAGATATCGTGCCCACAGGGTTGGGGAAGATTTTCTATGTACCAGTGACTGTTTGAAATTCCAAAGTTAATCACTTCTAGAACTGTGTAGATTGTGTACCTGTTGTATAAGTTTGGTCAAAATCAATCCATCAAATTTTGAGACTGGGATAGATGGACGAACAGGCTGACAAAGGAAAACCAAAATATCCTACTCTACGATGCTTTGTAGTGGGGGTATAAAAATTTTAATACATCAATTGGTTGTTACAAACACATCTGTTTCTGTGAAATATTGACACATCACTGGTTTCTACAGACGAAGTTACAAGAAAATCGTTATATTAGATCTTACTAACATTATTCTGACAATGTTTACCAAAAGAATAGATAATAATAAAAGGACCTTTCAATGTTTTGCTTCATTTGTAATTGACCGTTACACTTCACAGAAATTTTGATTACTACATAGATGCTAGATTTGTGACTAAATTAACACAACTTTTGTAGAATAAATTATCCACAATTCAATAATCACTTTTAAAAAAAAGTACTGTGACCTTGGAACTTAAACTAAAAGTTGGTAAGTTCTTAGAATAATTCAAACTTCAAAAATATTATTTTTTGGAATTATTTTTTATTCCAATTTATAAAATAGTGCATAGAAACACATGAAAAAAACCCAACAAATACAATATGAATACACTGTTAAATGTGAATTCTCTTTTGATGTTGTTTAATGAGACAATCTTATTTAAAAAATATCAAACTCATTTATTTAGGAAAAATCTAAAATTTTTTGGTTACATTTTTGCACAAGTTATTCAGTAGAATGATATATATGACATCTTATTCTTACTGATACAAGGGTGAAAAATTAACAATACTACAACAAAAACCTAATTTCTGTACATTATTTGATTTCTGGGACACCAATAATAAAAATGAGATTATATAAACAATTATAAAGATCATTATTCAGAAGAAACACATCTAAAGGCCTTTGACCTTTACATCTTAGCTGCCACATCAAACATAGGATGAATCAAGTTAAAAACACTGAATAAATGTATAATGTATTGGTCAAACTAACATTGTTTTAGCATATACATAAATAGCCAAGACAAAACAACAAGCTGCAAAAATCCACAAATTCACATTAACTTTTTGTGCTAAATGCACAGTTATGTGCTGTAATGGTTAACAATTATAATCTATGAAATATATAAAATAAATATAGTAGTTACTTACATTTAGAGGTTTTAACTGAAACAAAACTATAAAAAAAGTTCTTTTTCACATTTCCAAAAAACAACAACAAAAAACAGTAACCTTAAGTTTGCCAAGATAATATTAAAACTAACCTTAGGCATGTCAAGATAATGTTAAAACAGTAACCTTAAGCTTGCCAAGATAATGTTAAAACAGTCTTATCTTTAGCTCTGTATGAAAATTTGAAAGCAAAACTTAAGAAAAAAGTTTTTTTTTTGCATTTTCTGTTTTTAGGATAACACTTTTCTACACAACTTCAGCTCACTAAAAGCTGGTACGAGGATGTGTATGCTGGATTTGTTGAAAACATAGTTTTGACATTGTTTAATGAAGCATCTTTGTAACTGATGTTTTACACTACCAGTATTACATGTGTGACAACTGTTATTACAGATAACCAATAAGAATTTCATTTTTTTTTATCCTATCTTTAATGTTGAAAAAGTTCTTAACAGACAATGTCTTCCAATTTCTCCTACTAGCTTCTGAATTATCACTTCAGCTTGTAGTGAGCAGAAGTTAAGGATAAAGGAAGCTATTCTCATCAATGACCTAAAACCTTTCTCAAACAAAATGGAAAATGTAAAGGAACTTCTTAAGTTATAGCCATCCAAAACTTTCCTTGGTCAAATAAATGAAATAAAATATTGTTTTAATATCAGTTCCTTTGAGCTTTTAGAATCTAAAATTTGTGGGCCATACAAAAAATAGCAAATTTAAATCCATTGTTTTTATAATATTGGGCACTGATTTTATTATAAAAATATTTGCCTTCAAGAAATAGCCACAATTAAAAACACAAATATTGCAAGTCTTTTAACACTAACAAAAAAGCCATTTTCATTATATTGTGTCATTAATAACCATGCTTCTGGAAAAATTAAATTCCCAATACTGAACATACTGACAGTATCCAATTGTCTTAATATGGCTACCATACAACAGTTTAAATATACTTGTTTCAAACATTGTTGTTTTATCGTCCTATTTGTATTGACAGAATGCTAGTAAGGAATACCCCTCCACTTTATCACTTCTCAGTTTATTCAGAGCCTTGCATCTGCCACAACACTCAAGTAAATGGTAAAATTCCATAACTTATATGGCTACAATATACACAAGTTAATTACAATTTAATTCAAACCAAAAGTTATACTGTCCTGTAAATTTCTTCAACTGATGAATGGTTTAATCTAAGATGAAAATTCAGTTAATTTGAACTAGACTAAAATATATAAAAAGAAAGATAGTAATATATTACCATTATGCACCATGTTAACACCAACTAAAGTTATCTACACACTTAACAAAAGTCAATTTCTAAAATTCCAAAAAGATCTGTTTTCTCATTAGGCTATAGTTTGTATAGCATTAAAATTCCAGAATAGTATAAGAAATATGACTTACATTATACTAAAAGAATTTAAAAAGTAAGTTCAATGTTTTAAAGCAAATTTAACCATTGTTTATCACACATGTATGTAATTCTTGAATTCGCTTCATCACATAAATTCTACTTGTCTCCTAGACCTCAAGAATTCAGAGATTAAGAATTTATCAGGATAATAAATATTTGTTTTTAGTTTTTCCTGTATAAAGTAAAAGATACACAGTTATCATAATGTGAACATAACATTAGAGATTTACCTTCCTCACTTAATATTACAAATTTCAACATTTAGAGGTGCAACACAATTAGGTAAAAAACAAGTTACAAAAACACACAATCTTCACATCCATTCTTAAAACTTGATTTACTAAAGATATACAATTTTATTTTCAAAATATGTTTATCAAGAAGCTTATCGCCATGAATCTTAATTCTTATTTGAAATAATTTTAAAACTAATATTAGATGCAGCTCATTGCCATTAGAGCTATGAAGTGAAAATTCAATCCAACAAGGTTTACTTTGCAGCAAACAACTTATGTTACTTTTAACACAAGTCAGTAGAATGTACAGAAACAATGAATATTTTCAAATGATTCTTCTAGAATAGTTTTATTTCTAATTGTTTGCTAACAGAATGAATTATATCAACCCTCTCTTCTTTTTAAGACTCATATTTAAGTGTGAAAAGATACAATGAACTGAAGAACCTCATATGTGGGAAAGCAAATATAATTTGTTAGAAAACTGTATAAAACCTGTTAAAAACTTATGACAAATAAGCACATGCATGACATAGCAGACTTTTCAATGGCTGATAAAATATGAAATAATGTTTTTCATTGATGTCTTACTCATTGGTTTGAATGTTAATATACAAGTTTATGTACGTTTCCAGTTTTTTGTAACTTCACACCCTAGTATTTTTTTATACAAATGGAAGAAATTTATATGATGAGTTACATGTGAAATAAGATTTGTGTGGACTCGGTATTTATGAAAAATCGATTTTAAGAAATTCTTAATAATCTTCATTCTCTAAACACAACTCAGCTTTCAGGAAGTGTTTGAAAACAATGAGGCTAAATTCTCACACTTGGTTAGGGACCAACATTGTTTGATATTATATACAATTGTTTTTGTTTTTCTGTAAATATTATATATATTATATAGATATAGATATATATATAAAAACCTATTTCAGCATGCACAATTGAAAATTACATATTGGACATAAAATCAAATACTACAAAAGTTTATAAACTGAAATTATGCACTCTATAAATTAAACATACATACAGTCAACCTGTTACTTAAACTCTCATACTCATTATTCTTTTTAGTAATGGAGCTTTCTTCCTAACTTTTCTTTCTTCATTGGGAAACTTGGTAGCATAGACATCAGGGTGGTTTTCTTTGAACTAAAAAAAGAACAACATATACACAATAACAGAATAAAGCAGTAACATGTTAGCATATCAAAATATTGTCAACATTATGTAGTGCTCTGCTGAGGGCCTTGGTAGACATTAAAAAAAAAAAAGGGGGACAAACCCTCACACACATATTACAACTAGTTTCAACCATACAACTATATGGTGGACACAGGTCAAGGCCAAAACTAGAAATAAAATGAATATATATGTTTTCTATCCCTTAGTTAATGTGTAAATTCTTTTCCTAATTATAGTTTTTTTCATTAGTCTCAGTTTGGACACAGTGGGACACTTAAGTTACCCAGCTTTTTCTTTTGCTGGAGTGCTTGGTTAAATGTGTTTGTAATTGGCTGCTATCCTTGTTCTTTTGCACGAAAGATAACTTGTAAACTAGTAAAAGAAACAGTTGTTTCTTTTGTCAGTGAGTCACGTGATGGCTAGGGACTGCCATGATCTTTTCACACCAGATGCCATAAACACAGAGTGCTCACTGAATGTGGGGTAGAGGGCAAACTTAGCTTTGTGTATAGTTTTGTTTTCATATTATAAGACCAGATTTGCTCCATGACATTCAGAATGCAGGCTTCTGATTTTATTTAGCCTTTTAAATTTTAATACAGTTTGAAGGCTCTCTTAAGATTGAATTACCTTTTCTTTGCATTAATGTTCATCTTCAGTGAATTGGTTTAGCATATTTTGTGTTTTAATAGAGACCTTGACTTTAAATTAAAGAGAAGTTTGTCTAAACTCATAGCTTAAGCATTAGTTGGATTTTAAGTCTAATTTTTAGTAAAATCCAAGCTTAAATTCAATTTTACACTATTTTCATTTGACTTGACATGGTTATTTTTCAATTATACTTTAGCTCATTTTCAGTTTAAATTTGAACTTGTACAACAAAAGGTTTCCTATACATCTCTTATCAGTTCAATAAATATCCACAAGAATTACTTGCCCCTTTTGTCTTGTATTGTACTGGTGACAAAAACTAATTTTGTAATTTGTGTAAACTCAGTTTTAAACATTGGTTTTAAGTGTAACATTTAATAAAATCCAAGCTTAACTTGGATTTTATTATTACTTTATTTTTCTAACTTGGAGTTATTATTCAATCTGATTTTAGCTCACTTAACTTTCAGTTTAAATTTAAACTGATAAGGGAAATTAATAAAAGCTTCTCATGTATCTCATCAGTGTGATACATATTGTTGAGAAATAATTACCCTATTGTTTTATTTGATATTGTATTGTGTTTTGTGACAATAAATATACACACCCCTTTGATTGTGAAATAAGTTAGACTAACTTTCTCATCATTGTACCATTATAATGTAAACAAAATATTTAATCTTACTAACTGATTTTTAAGTCTAGTCTACCAGTTGTTATCATTAATACTCTCTGTAAACAAGAAAGTTATTTTTGGCGAACAGCAATATGGTTAAGTTCATATGGGTTGCTACATGTACCCAACTACATTTTCTTCCATCAAGTAACTTTAATATATACTATGCTCCAATATATTAAAACAGGATCTATTCAAAATTAAATGCAAAAAAATAAAAGTATACCAAAACTTCATATAAAGCTCGGTAAGTCAACCAAACAAAGTAAAATAATGAACTAATTTAAGTCTGGTACCGATTGTGGAGAGAAAAGATACTAAAAGCTCTTGATTATAAACAACTATGAATTAACTGATGTAATTCTGTATTTAAGATTTTATGATAAATAAAAGAGTGATAAACCAGAGGTAGTATGATCTCATGATTTTGTTATTTTGATATTTAAACATAAAATATTATGCTGGTCAACTTCCTAAAAAATCATTATAAAGCTCTGAAAACTGTTGCAAATATTCAAGACATGGCCAATCAAGGTACACACACACACTCATTTTTGATAAAAATGGCTTCATAATGTTGAGTATTTTGAATTCTTTCAATACTTTATAGTACTTTTATTAATACACACACATACATATACATAGAAATTAAAATACCATCCAATAAAACAGCAACTTCTGTAAATAAAGCTATAAATAAACTTGTCTTATTTTTTTTTAGGATTTATAACAGAGAATTCAGCTACACTTAGTAATTAGCACTCAGAAATGCTTATCTTACAATTTTAGAGCTAGATATAAACTTTTATAATAATAACTGGGCATATATTTTCAGTACATTAATTAATATTTTAGGGAGAAATTATGGTGCTACTTGAAAAACTCTGGGTACAGATTTCTTACATCAATAGTTGAGAGATCTGAATAATACATAGTACCGACTTACACAACTGTTTTTGTTCACATAACACTTGAGATTATTTTGTAATTGTTCAGCATAAAACTGGGAAATTTTCCCTTTAGCATTTCTTAACAACTCATCCAAATATGGAAGCTTTACAGAACAATTAAATTAAATATTTAAATACTATTTTGAAATTTAAGTCAGAATTCTCCTTCAGAATCTACTGAATATAATTTCAAGACATACTTTAAACAAACTAATTTTATGACATGCAAGAGAGGACAGAATTCCATAAACTTGAAAAACAAATTAGAATTTTGAGTATATATATATATATATATATATATATATATAATTAATTAATTTAATATAAAGATATTAGAA